ATGCCACACGGCCGTGTGGCCCTGCCCGTGTGAGTCGGGATTTCCTGGTTTTAACCCAATTCCGGGCTGCAAGAGAGAAGATCGGACTTTTTGAGCAAAAACAGAGTTTTAGAGAGAGAAAGGACGAAGAACACATCCTAGAAGCCATCTTGGAGCTGGGTTTCATCAAATCAAGCTTGAAGATCGTCCTAGGAGTGGAACTCATCATCCCGGAGCAGATTTTCCTCATCATTATGAGTATGACTACTCCGATTACTGTTTTCTTATCTCTCTCTATGGAGTAGAACCCCTCTCTCACTTGGGGATGAAGAACCCTAGTTCTATGTGTTAGGGGATTGATTGTAATGACTTGGAATGATATTACTGTTTGATTTTAATCGAATGATGCATGTTTATTGAGTCAATTGAAGTCTGATCAACTTTTCCTGATTCCTGCTGCAATCTGAGATAGATAGAATCTGATTAGGTTGCTAGAGTCTCATCATTCGATAGTAGGAGATTGGCTATACGAGAGTTAGCCAGTTTACTGCTTTGTACTGGAATCTAATTCCAGTAGTGAATTTATGTTCTTACTGCTTCAGCTTTCTATCCCGGTGAAGACTAGTCGTCTGCCGGATAGTTAGACTGAGAGGGCTTGGTCAGCTTAAGAGATTCCAAGCTACTGTCGGATCTTCCGCAGTCTAATCAACAGTAAATCAACCTAGGGGAAATTGCAATTGAACCTAACTAAGGAGCTAGGGGGACTCATTCCCGAGTGACTCTTTCCTGCTTGAGAAAATCGAATAAATTCCTGCTTTATTTCTGCTTTTAGTTTAAACAACAATCACTTACTTTAGTTGGCTAGATAACAGAGAATCACTGAGTAAGCAGTAGATCTAGACCCCGGGTTGATAATATAACTTGCCTGTTACTGCATTCCCGGTCTGCGATTACACTTGGTCGCAGATTGGTGTTGTGTTTTAGCGTGCCAGTGATCATCCATAGATCGTACATGGCAATTGCTGAAGTCGAGGAGGGACCACTTGAGCAAAACAACAATTCAAAACAAGTAAGTGACGCTGAATCCATACTTGAGTCAGAATACTACAATGATAATGAATTGCTAATTGACACTATAAGAGATATCCAAGTAAAGTTTGGAAATGTCAAGATGAGATATAATAAAATTAAAAGGGAAAATCAGGAGCACCTGACAAGAATAGCTGAACTAGAAAACGAACTAGAGATCAGTAAAGCAGAAGTCAGTGAACTCAGGAAGAAAATTAGTATTTTGGAAACTGAGAATAAACAGGATCAATGCAGAAAAGAGCCTCTCAAAGTTATAACTAAAAGACATGAAACATATACAACCAGTCAAGATGTGAAACTAAAAGGAGTAGAATGTTATTACTGTCACAAAAGAGGGCATATTATTAAGATGTGCAGAAAGAGGTTATGGTCAGAAGCTAAGAAAGAGGGTTTTGGTTGGTCACATAAAATTAAGCACTCCTGGAACAATCATGTGTTTAGCTCAAGTGCATCAAACGAACCCAAGAAAATCTGGGTTCAAAAAACCAAATGAAGTTTGTGTTTGTAGAGTTGTCTTCAAGTGAGCACAGAGACAACTAGATGGATCATGGACAGCAGGAGCTCACACCATATGACAGGTAAGAAGAATATGTTCTCTAGACTCAGTCTAAGAGATTTTGGTAAGGTCTACTTTGGAGACAACAACTCTGCTCACATCATAGGAAAGGGTCAAGTAGGAACTGATCTGTGCATTAAAAATGTTATGTTAGTTGATGGTCTGAAACATAACCTCATTTCTATCAGTCAAATGTGTGGAAAGGCTTGCAGGGTGGTGTTTGAACCTAATTGTTGTTATGTAGAAAACATTCTGAACAATCAAGTCATGTTCACTGGAAAAAGAAATGGGAAAATCTACACGATTCACTTAAATGACAAGGACAGTTTCAATGAAACATGTTTGATCAATCTTGATAAAAGTGATCATGAAGAATGGCATAGACGGCTGGGTCATGTGAATGTTAGTGTTCTGTCTAAGTTAGTTTGTCTAAATCTAGTCAAAGGCCTTCCTAAAATAAATGAGAAAAAGAATTTTTTCTGCGATGCTTGTGCTAAGGGTAAACAAACCAGGTCTAGCTTTAAATCTAAATCTGTCATTTCTACATCTAGACCTTTAGAGTTACTTCATTTGGACTTATTTGGACCTACAAATGTGGTTAGCTATGGTGGAAAGTCTTATGCATTCATTGTAGTTGACGATTATTCTAGATTCACCTGGGTATTGTTCCTAAGAAAGAAGGATGAAGCCTTTGAAAACTTCAGAATATTGGTCAAACGTATTGAAAATGAAAGATTGGCTAAAGTTTGTAGCATTCGAAGTGACCATGGAGGAGAATTTTGCTCTGACTCCTTTGAACAGTATTGCAATGATCTAGGTATCTCTCATAATTTTTCTGCACCTAGAACTCCACAACAGAATGAAGTAGTGGAAAGGAAGAATAGAACACTTATAGACATTGCTCGCACTATGTTGCATGATTATGGTATTCCTAAGTACTTCTGGGAAGAGGCTATGAACACTGCTTGCTATACTGTTAACCGAGCCTTAATCAGAACAGGTGTGAATAAAACTCCCTATGAAATCTGGAAGGGAAGAAAACCTAATCTAGGTTACTTTCACCCGTTTGTCTATAAATGTTTTGTGTTGAATACAAAAGATCACCTGGGGAAATTTGACTCAAAATCTGATGAATCTGTGTTCTTAGGATATTCCAACACTAGCAAGGCATATCGAGTGTTCAATAAACGGACCCTCAAAGTTGAGGAGTCCGTCAATGTAATTTTTGATGAATCTGTTACTGTAAGAGCAGCTGTCTATGATGATGATGACTTTGGACTTGGAAGGCAGCAGTCAACAAACAAAGAAGATGGTGCTAAAGTTGTACAAGAAGACAAAAGGCAAGAAGAAGCAACTGATACACTTAAAGGCATCGAGATGCAGTCAGAGGAAAGGACCAAAATAGCATACTCAGATGCTCATCCTCCTGCCTCCATTGTGAAGCGACATCCTCCTGAACAGATCATAGGAAGCATTAATCAAGGTATGATTACTCGATCAAAGACTCTACCATCTTCTGTTGCTTACGTGTCTTTAGTTGAACCAAAAAATGTGCATGAAGCTCTTCAATATGAATTCTAGACTGCCTCTGTGTTTGATGAAATGCACCAGTTTGAACGTGCCAATGTGTGGGAACTCGTCCCTAAACCTGAGAATCGTGTAATAATTGGTACTAAGTGGATATACAAAAACAAATCTGATGAAGTAGGAACTGTGGTTAGGAACAAGTCTAGACTAGTTGCTCAAGGGTATTGCCAGGAGGAAGGGATAGACTATGAGGAAACCTTTGCTCCTGTAGCACGTCTAGAAGCCATTCATTTGCTGTGTGCTTTTGCTAGTTCTAAACGTTTTAAACTGTATCAGATGGATGTCAAAAGTGCCTTTCTTAATGGAGATTTAAAAGAAGAAGTGTTTGTGTCCCAGCCTCCAGGGTTTGAAGATCATAGATTCCCTAACCATGTTTATAAATTAAAAAAGGCTTTGTATGGGCTAAAACAAGCTCCAAGAGCTTGGTATGACAAACTTAGTTCCTTTTTGTTAGAAAATGGTTTCAGAAGAGGTCTCGTGGACAAAACCTTGTTCATTAAACAGATAGATAATCACATCCTTCTGGTTCAGGTGTATGTTGACGATATAATCTTTGGTGCTACTTGTGAAAGTCTGTAAAGAGATTTCGAGTAAACAATGAAGAATGCATTTGAGATGAGTTTAATGGGGGAACTCAACTATTTTCTAGGCCTACAGATTAAACAGAATCCTCAAGGAATTTTTATCAATCAATCGAAGTATTTGGTTAACATGATTAAGCGTTTTGATCTAGGGAATCTTAAATCTGCTCTCACCCCTATGGCTTCCTCTTTAAAAATAGATAAGGATGAATCTGGTACTTCCATTAATGATAAACTATATAGAGGAATGATTGGATCCTTATTGTATCTGACTGCTAGTCACCCTGATATCATGTTCAGTGTGTGTGTGTATGGGCTCGGTTTCAGAGCTCTCCTAGGGAGAGTCACTTAACAACAGTCAAGAGGATCTTTCGTTATCTTAGTGGTACCCCTGACTTGGGTCTATGGTATCCCTCCGACCCTTCTTTAGACTTGATAGGTTACTCCGATTCAGACTATGCTGGTTGTACCATTGACAGAAAGAGCACTTCAGGTACATGCCATTTCCTAGGGTCCTCTCTTGTTTCTTGGTATAGCAAGAAGCAATATTCTGTTGCTTTGTCTACTACAGAAGCAGAGTATATTGCAGCAGGAAGCTGCTGTACTCAGCTTCTGTGGATGAAGTACCAACTCCGAGACTATGGTCTGCACTTAGGCACTCTTCTCGTTCTTTGAGACAATACTAGTGCCATCAACATGAACAAAAATCCCATTCTGCATTCGTAGACCAGTGTGTAAGCTTGTAGGTGACCCACCTCAACCTAAGATTGGTGACTTGACTCCATAGATTGTAGTTCTGATCTGTAAGCTTCATGGAAATGATAGTGGTCAGCCCACCATCATGTGACGACAGATAAAAGGGGTTGAGGTATGGATCTTCATACTGAGGAAAATGAGTGTTGGATTGAGTTGCAAAGGGTTGAGCACCAAAAGGCTGAGGTGCTAGTGTTTGTAGTCGACGCCCAGTTGGAGTAGCCTGTGAAGCGGCTTGAATCTGGATATCCTCCTCTGATGACTGAGTATCAGCATCAACTGTGAATTGCTCATTGACTCTTGCTTCCTGGCCTGACATGGTGAGAAGAATTCACCACAGGAATGGCTAGAGTTTGATGGAAAGGAAAAATGTCATATATGGTACAACCAACCAGGCTCTGATACCATGAGAAGAAAAATGTCATACCATGAAGGGTTCTCTAAAGAGAGCCTTCGTTTCTCATTCCCATTTATACTGCAGAGCATATTTACAGAGAAAAAGGAAAAAGTTTAAACGACTACTTTACAGTAAAAACGGAAAACTACCAATTAACCTATCCAATGTAATCTGTACATGTGTCGAGCAATAAACCATTTACAGTTGCTAATTGGAACGACAACGTTCTGGATTAATAGACCAAGTCTTCTTGTTGACTTCGAATGAATGAAGAAGGACACCGTTCCGAATTGGCAAGCAATCAGTCTACAACAGCTCTGCATCATGAACTCGAGTGAAGAACAAGTTGTTGCTGGTGTGTTCGGGGATTGACATGTTCTTCATTATTCATTCCTCTGCTTACTCCAACAGTCGTCGTCACGCTGTCTTAGCCAGAGAAGCAAACTAACTATGGAAATAGATGGTCGAGGTTCCTTCAGATTCTGGGTTCGAGGTTTCAATAGAAGTAGAGAAAGAATTGAAGAAGATGAATAGAAGGGAAATATTGTATTTTGATTCTTTTCATTGAAAACCTTGATTTGTAAACACACAAGAAATTTACCTAAATCCTACATACAAAATATATAATTTTTGATTGAGAGATTTGGACCCAAATCCCTCAAAACCATATGAACGAACTCTATTATTATTTCCCTTCAAAGAAAAGAAAAGTCCCCCTAAAGAATACTAGCACAATGCCCGGCCTTTTGGCCGGGAGAGTTTGATGATTATATAATTCGTATGTGTCATTCATACTCATAATGTATATTTTGCTTTGTATTTTGTCATAAACTATCTACACAATACTCAAACTACTCTTTATATGCTTTGAATGCATTGAATCATGAGAAATGCCAAATGACTAACAAAGAAAATGCAACTAATAGTAACATATATGATTACAAACAAAGTGTTGCTTATATAAAAAAAAGTCCATAAATGACAACATGAGAGTTGCTTCCTATGATACATACATAGTCAATCTTCACTATAAAAGAAAATTATTGTCCTTCGATGGAAAATATGATGATTAACGCCTTCGAAAAAACTTCAATTAATGACTATTTGAAACATTGGTACAAAGAAAAATTTGTCAAAGCTAACTCTTATCACATAAATAAACAAACTCAAATTTCACCTAAGACAGCCTCTAAATCCATTCCTTGCTCCCCACTTATATTTATATGTAAGACTATTTCCCATTTAACTATTCAATTGCCACAAACAATGAAGTTATTCTTTAATTTCATTTGTATGAACTCGTGTGACAACTAAGAACAACACAACCACTACCATGTTTACTTGTTATCACAACTAACTAAATGTGTTCAACCAATTCCATGTCCCAAATTAGCAAGCAATTTAACCAATCTATCAATGCCCAAGTTTTTATGGAACGTTCATTAGAATTCTCTCACAAACAACAATAATTTAAATTTCAACAGATATATAAGTTCATAAAAAAACCCTAAGCAATTACCATAAATGGATTCATCAAATCTAGCCTCAAATAAAGTTCAAATATTTAAGGAATAAAACACCCCACATATAAATATTGTAGTTGAACTAAATGAAATACCCACACGAATAATAGCTCATCTATTTATCTTACTGGTACTTTCAAGAAAATTTTTAAACATGTCGTTGCATTAACAGGATCACTACCAATTCAATGATTCCACCAAGCGAAAAATTGATTAATCTGTCAAGCATTACTACATTTCTTGCTTATGAAAACATATTTTTAGGGCATAATTCAAAAGTTTTCATTTCGTTATGGGAAAGAGAGTAAACAATATTGGGGTAGACCACTAAAAACAACTTTCAAATAACCTTCATATTGGCATGCAACCACTCCAATTTACGTGTATTTTTTCCAGATAACATGTAAGAATAGGTGATTCACCTCAACCTAAGATTGGTGCGAGGCGGTATAAGTATTGAGGTATCCATCCCTCCCTGCCCCATTGCCATTACTACTGAAGAGTGTCACAAGCCCAACATGATCAAGTCTCTGCCTTAGCTTTGCACCCCATCCTTGGTACTCGCAGAAATCAACACAATCTATCTCTCCTTTGGGTTCCAGAGGAATAGTTTTCCATTTCTCTACTCTTCTCCTCCTTTTTGTATCTAGAGAAAAGTTGAGTAGCGGATGCACGGGCACTAGTGCTGGCTCGAGAATCTCGAGCTCGCCATTTGTCTCTTTCACCTCTGGTCCCTGGTGCATTTGTCCTATTCAAATTTTCTATCTCCTGCTACCAAGGATAGACATCCACTACTAATTCTAGAGGAAATTCGAGCAAATCCATACTGAGAAGCGTAGTTATGAATTCTGATAACACTACTATTTAATATCTTGGACTAAAACAATTTAATAGTCAAACCTTTCATTTTAAACAATATAATATTCATACATTTGCAAAAACAATCTAATAGACAAATTGTCAACTTTTCTTCCACTTGTCCGTTAGTTAAATCTTACGTGACAATTTATTAAGTGAGGTTGATTATTGTTGATGTGGCCTGAAGTCAAAGTTTGAACCTGCCACATGGATATTTAAATTCATTATATAAATTAATTTTTATTTATAGAAAACTAAATAAATTAGTTTCGTTCGAATCCCTCCCTCCTAGTTCAATCCTTTCTACTTCTGTACCCTAAACCCCATCGAACTCCCAACCCAGCGTCCACCACCAAACGATTAATCACAACCTTCAGTCACCTTTTGTTCGTCGTGCCCTATTTCTTGGCAACGCGATTCCGTTAATTCCCGTCGAAATAGGAGCGTCGAGAAAGTCGAGTCTATCCCGGTCGTAGGATCCTAGGTCAAAGATTAATGCGACAGACGACTTACTAAGGTAAGGAAACTCTGATTCAAACCCTCCCTCGTAGACATATGCATCCTTAGGAAGAAGGATACCTCGTTGGAGAGACAAATAATGGAGCAAGAGAGGATGGTGTTGGGCGCAGCGGGTGAGAATAGCGGGTAAATATATTGGATTAAAAAATCACACGCTTGTAAAAAGTTCACAGGTAAGTTGGACCTGGTGGCAGAGCCTCCAGAATTACGGTAACCAACTTACTTAGATCAATTTACTTCGGTAATTTAATAACGCAATATACTACGACTATTCTCAAAATGACAACAAGCATAGACAATAATAAATGTCACAGAGGATTTACGTGGTATACCCTGATTTAGGGCCAGTCCACGGGAACAACAGCTCCAGAGTATTTCTTCACTATTGCAACAGTAGGTTACAGAGAATTTCAAGATACAAGGAAATAGAACACTCGGTGTTTCCCGGAACAACCTCACTATTTCACTCACAAGAATTCTCCTATCTACCCGTGGTAGTGAAAACGTTTCACTACCAAAACCCACAAAAGAAATACGAACAGAAGCAGAGCAAATGAATTGGAGAAGTATGAAATGGTGAAGGATGATTTTGAAAAAAGGGAGAACCATGTTCCCTTTTATAGCAGAGGAAATGGGGAACCAATTGATTGCAATTGGTTGGATCTATCTGCTATCCATCTCCCCAACTGCATTTAAGTTTTTTTTTTTTTTATTTCCACCGCTTGGCTCGTTGGCTATTGTTGAGCCACATGAGGCGGGCCAACAATTCTCCCCCGCCCGACTACATGGGCGACTTCATTATTCCTGCAGCTGATCGACAGAACTCAAACTTTTCTCTTGGAAGAGTCTTGGTACACATGTCAGATCCATTTTCGTCAGTATGGATCTTCTCCAGTTGTAGTTGCTTCATTTCAAGTACATCACGAATCCAGTGATATCGAACATCGATATGTTTTGATCGAGCATGAAATGAAGCATTCTTCGCAAGATGAATAGCACTCTGACTGTCACAGAACAGCTGCGGTTGTTCCTGTAGGAACCCAAGTTCATTCAGGAACTTCTTCATCCATATCATCTCCTTGCATGCTTCCGTTACTGCTATATACTCAGCTTCTGTTGTGGAAAGAGCTACACACTTTTGTAGCCTTGACTGCCACGATATTGCTCCCCCTGATAAGGTAATCAGGTACCCAGAAGTGGACCTCCTCGAATCAACATCGCCTGCCATGTCAGCATCTGTATAGCCAACAAGGACAGGTTCACCATCTCCAAAACATAGACTCATTTTGGAGCTACCTCGAAGGTATCTGAGGATCCACTTTACAGCTTCCCAATGTTCCTTTCCTGGTTTGGAAAGAAACCGACTGACAACTCCAACTGCATGAGCAATATCTGGCCTTGTACACACCATGGCGTACATCAAACTTCCCACTGCTGAAGCATATGGAATTTTATCCATCTCCGCCTTTTCCTTCTCAGTAGACGGGCTCTGTTTGGATGTCAATGTAAAGTGGTTAGCAAAAGGACAGCTAACCGCCTTAGCATTATCCATGTTGAAACGTTGAAGCACTTTCTCAATGTACTTCTCTTGTGACAACCATATCTTCTTGGCACCTCGATCTCGAACGATCCTCACGCCAAGAATTTGCTTTGCTGGTCCCAAGTCTTTCATGGCAAAAGACTTGCTCAACTCCTTCTTCAAATCATTGATCTTTGAGACGTTCTGCCCGGCAATTAGCATATCATCCACATAGAGCAAAAGTATGATGAAATCTCCATCAGGAAATTTCTTCACGAACACGCAGTGGTCTGAAGTAGTCTTCATGTAGCCTTGCTCCCCCATAACAGACTCAAACTTCTTATACCATTGTCTTGGTGCCTGCTTCAAGCCATACAAGCTCTTACGGAGCCTGCACACATAGTCCTCATTTTTCTCTTTCTTGAAGCCTTCTGGCTGCTCCATGTAAATCTCTTCCTCCAAATCACCATGAAGGAAAGCAGTTTTCACATCCATTTGTTCAACCTCCAGGTTAAGACTTGCTGCTAGTCCCAACACAGTACGAATGGATGTCATCTTCACCACAGGTGAAAATATCTCGTCAAAGTCAATGCCTTTCCTTTGACTGAAGCCTTTCACGACTAGTCTGGCTTTGAAGCGTGGCTGACGGTTGTGTTCATCATGCTTGATCTTAAACACCCACTTGTTCTTCAAAGCTCTCTTGCCTTTTGGCAACTTCACCAACTCAAATGTGTTGTTATCATACAAGGAATCCATCTCGTCTTGCATGGCTTCTATCCACCTTTGCTTGTCTTCATCATTCATAGCTTCTGTGAAGCTTTCTGGTTCTCCGCCGTCAGTAAGTGAGACATATTCAGTCTCGGGATATCTGGTAGACGGTCGTGAAATTCTACCAGATCTTGTTGTTCGAACAGGAGAACCTTCTATGGCTGGTGGTTGACCATCATCATCAGCATCTTCTGGTTGAACCTCAACATGGGCATTTGGTTCAACTATCTCAGGCTGATCATGTTGTACTTCTTCTCCAACTTCTGTAGGCGCTGGTGTTGGAGGCACTAGCTCAAGGTTTGGCTGGCTAGCATCAGTACTAGGAACTTCTTTCCTAGCAACAACATCTTCGATGGTCTCATTCTCGATGAACACAGCATCACGGCTTCTGATAAGCTTCTTCTGGATTGGATCAAAGAATCTATAGCCAAACTCATTTTGACCATAGCCAATGAATACGCACGGTCGCGTCTTTGAATCCAACTTTGACCTTTCATCCTTTGGAATATGGACAAAGGCCTTGCAACCAAACACCCGCAAATGTTTGTAGGAAACTTCTTTTCCTGTCCACACCTTTTCTGGGGCGTCATACTTCAGTGGCACACTAGGTGACCTGTTCCACACATAAACTGCTGCAAGCAGTGCCTCCCCCCAGAAAGATTGTGGTAGCTTCGAGTGTGATAACAAGCACCTGACTCTCTCTAGCAGGGTCCTGTTCATCCTCTCAGCTAGCCCATTCAATTGCGGCGTCTTTGGTGGTGTGAATTGCTGCCGAATTCCATGTTCCTTGCAGAAGTTAGCAAACGGACCTCTGTACTCTCCACCATTGTCAGTCCGGATGCACTTCAGCTTCTTGCCAGTTTCCCTCTCCACCAGGGCCAAGAATTGTTTGAAAACGTCTAGGGCCTGATCCTTGGTCTTCAAGGTATACACCCAAGTCTTCCGTGAATGGTCATCAATGAATGTCACGAAATATCTGGCACCTCCAAGTGATTTGACGTTGACATCGGGTTCACAGAGATCTGAGTGAACTAGATCCAACACGTTCTTTGCTCTTGAAGGGATGGAACTTTTGAAAGCAACTCGATTTTGCTTTCCCGCAAGGCAATCGACACACTTCTTTAGATGAACTTGATCCAACCCAACTATGACCTTCTTCTGGGCCAACTTTGCCATGGACTTCTCACTCATGTGACCGAGCCGTTTGTGCCACAATTCAATTGTGTCACCATTCTCCGCTGAGTTGACAATCTCTGGGGAGATCTTGGCTTCCATCACATACAGCTTTGACAGCTTCTTGCCCTTGGCCAACACTAAGGAGCCTCTGGTGAGTTTCCACTGGCCATTGTGAAAGGTGTTGCAGTAACCTTCCCCATCCAACTTGTCTACAGAGATGAGATTCAGGCGCATTTCTGGAACATGCCTGACATCCTTCAGCAGTAGCTTCGTACCATTCATCGTCTCCAAGCAGACTTCTCCTTTTCCGATAACTTTGGAAAGATTACCATTTCCCATTCTTACCACACCAAAGTCACCTGGTGTATAAGATGAGAAAAATTCTCTCTTGGACGTCACGTGAATGGTAGCACCACTATCAACCACCCAGCTTGTCTCCTGGGTTGTCAGGTTGACAACATCTTCCTCGTAGACAATATTGAACTCATCTACAGAGTTTGCACCATCATCATCACTGTTCTCATCTCGTTTGCCCTTCTTTCTCTCATTTCTGAACTTTGGGCAAAATCTTCTGATGTGGCCCTTTTCCTTGCAGTGATGACATTGGATGTTGGCAAACTTGTTGGACTTCCCTCGACTCTTGCCTCTTTGCTTTGAGCCTCTAGCCTCACTTCTTCCTCTGCTTCTGGAATCCACTATCAGAAGGTCTGACTGGGAAGATGATGAGGATGCACCTTGTGATCTTTTTCGCATCTCTTCGTTCAGGACTCCGCTTTTGACAATCTCCATGTTTATAACTCCATCTTTTGCAGAGTTGGTAAGTGAAATTTTTAGCGTCTCCCAAGATTCTGGAAGGGAAGCCAGAACGAGGAGAGCGACCACCTCATCTTCCATCTTTATGCCCATACCGGACAACTGATCCACGATCCCTTGAATTTCGTTCAAGTGATCCGCCAAGGATTTGCCTTCCTTGTATTTCATCTGGACCAACTTGGTCAGATAAAATAATTTGTTGTTGCCGGTCTTTGATGCATAAAGTGCCTCCAGCTTGTTCCACAGAGTTCTGGCATGAGTTTCTCCGCTAATGTGGTTGTATACATTATCGTCGACGAACTGTCGAATGTAGCCACATACTTGCTCATGCTTGAACTCCCATTCCTCTTCAGTTTTGCCATCAGGTTTAGTTGGGCTAAACACCGGCAAATGCAACTCCGTCACGAGTAGGAGATCCTTCATCTTGTTTCTCCATATGTGATAGTTGGAGCCATTCAGACTTATCATCTTGCTTGTTTTTGCCTCCATTGGACGTGGCTCTGATACCACTTGTTGGGCGCAGCGGGTGAGAATAGCGGGTAAATATATTGGATTAAAAAATCACACGCTTGTAAAAAGTTCACAGGTAAGTTGGACCTGGTGGCAGAGCCTCCAGAATTACGGTAACCAACTTACTTAGATCAATTTACTTCGGTAATTTAATAACGCAATATACTACGACTATTCTCAAAATGACAACAAGCATAGACAATAATAAATGTCACAGAGGATTTACGTGGTATACCCTGATTTAGGGCCAGTCCACGGGAACAACAGCTCCAGAGTATTTCTTCACTATTGCAACAGTAGGTTACAGAGAATTTCAAGATACAAGGAAATAGAACACTCGGTGTTTCCCGGAACAACCTCACTATTTCACTCACAAGAATTCTCCTATCTACCCGTGGTAGTGAAAACGTTTCACTACCAAAACCCACAAAAGAAATACGAACAGAAGCAGAGCAAATGAATTGGAGAAGTATGAAATGGTGAAGGATGATTTTGAAAAAAGGGAGAACCATGTTCCCTTTTATAGCAGAGGAAATGGGGAACCAATTGATTGCAATTGGTTGGATCTATCTGCTATCGATCTCCCCAACTGCATTTAAGTTTTTTTTTTTTTTATTTCCACCGCTTGGCTCGTTGGCTATTGTTGAGCCACATGAGGCGGGCCAACAGATGGGAGGCAGCGGAATTTGGTTGGGTTTGTGGGAGGTGGAGAGGATCTGATCTGGAAGGGGGGAGTGAGAGGGAAGAATAAGAGTTCTCTGAAGGAGAAGAAGAAAAGGTTAGGGAAGGGAAAGAAGAATAGTCTCTGGTTTTTTTGTGCCCCGATGGAATTTATAGAATAATAGTTTAAATTTAAAAAATCAATAATTTGTAAATATAATACAAAGGGTAAATAAATTATCTCACGTGTACAGGAAATTGCTACTTCATAGTCAATTAACAATCAAGTGGACAGTAAGTTGACAATTTGGCTATTAAATTATTTTCGTAATGATTTGGTTATTATATTGTTTAAAACGAAAAGTTTACCTACTAAACTGTTTTAGTCCTCATATCTTCTCACCCCTGAATGAGATTGAAATCCCCACAAACCAGCCACGGGAGATCTGTCATCTCCTTAAGTTGTCGAAGTAGATTACAAGTCATATATTATTATCCTGCTATGGCTATTCATAGATCCCAGTAAAACGCCACTGTAAATTCCTATAAGTTACACAAGCATCAATATGATTGGTAGGTTTAGACTTCACCACAACCTGAACATCCGAGCTCCAAAGTAACAATAGACCACTAGATCTTCCCACTGAACCAATCTCATTAAGGGATACGAGGAAAAGAATGGACTTAATTTGGCCAATGTGACAGAGATGGATATGTTCAATGAGGGGCTTAAAGACTGTGAGCTGGAGGACCTAGGGTATTATGGAAAGACCTTCACGTGGGACAATAATCATTCTGACGACACATTCCTAGAGGAGATATTGGATAGAATGGTGGCTAATGCAGCTTGGAAATCTTTTTATCCCCATGCTAGAGTATACCATTTGAGAAGATGTGGGGCTGATCACTCCCCTATACTCTTACATACAAATTTGGTTACACAAAATATCAAATGGGGATAGAGTTTTCGTTTTGAACCCTATTGACAACAACATGCTTAATGCAAACAGGTTGTGGCAAAAGGCTGGCAGGCAGGGGAGGGAGGGAGGGACTTACCAATATGGACAAGATAAGTGCGTGCAAAGACAAACTACAAGACTGGAGCAAAATGACATTTGGTGATTTGAGATCGAGGAGACTGAAAGCAGAGAAGGCGTTGGAGAGACTAAGTAAACATAGAACCAATGAAGTTGTGGTCTTACAAAGGAAAGTTATCGAAAAAGAACTGAATGAGATTTTGAGGCAAGAAGAACTCAAGTGGAAACAAAGATCGCGTGTGGATTGGTTGAAAGGGGGGATAAGAATGCAAATTTCTTTCACCGTAAAGCCTCAGACAGGAGAAATAAAAATACAATCAAGAAGTTGGTGGAGGAAAATGGAAGGGTGAAGGAAGGGTAGGAGGCGGTGTCAAAGTGCCTAACTAACCATTTTAAAGTTCTTTTCTGTGCAGGTACAATGAATCACTCAAACAAAATTATGGACGCTATTCCCTGCAAGGTTACTCAGGATATGAACGAGGAATTACTTAAAGCCTTTTACACAGGATGAGATTTGGGCAGGTATTAAGAGAATGGGACCAAATAAAGCTCCTGGAGCAGATGGGATGACATATCTTGTTTCCAAAAAAAATTGGGATATAGTGGACAAATAGAGCCTTCGATTGAGTCGTTTGCTGCGTTACATTGATAATCGAAGAATCGATTGAGCTCGAATCAAGAACAAAACGTTATTAATACGAACTTGGATAAAAATGCAGTCAAAGGTGCTAGCAAATTCCAAAAAATTGTCTCTTGTGGATTTTCAGCCTATAAGTTTATGCAAATTCCTTTACAAAATATTATCCAAGGTGCTAGCAAACAGGCTTAAGAAGGTTCCCAATGAAGTCATTTCGGAGTTTCAAAGCGCATTTGTCCCTGGAAGACTCATTACGGACAATGTTATGGTGACATTCGAGTGCTTCCACTCGATGAAAGGTAGAACAAAAGGGGGAAAAGGTTATTTGTCGACCAAACTTGATATTTCTAAAGCATATGACAGAGTTGAATGGAGGTTCTTAGAGGCAGTGATGAGGAAATTGGGCTTTCATGAGAAGTGGGTGGCGATGATTATGCACTGTGTTTCCACAGTTTCCTACTCAATCCTAGTTAAAGGTCATCAGACAGAGACCTTTTTCCCATATAGAGGACTCAGACAGGGAGATCTCATCTCTCCCTATTTGTTTCTGTTCATTGCGGAAGGATTGTCCGCTTTACTATCCCAAGCAGATCGAGAGAAGAAGATTGAAGGAATTACTATCAAAAGAGGAGTTCTAAAGCTACTAAGGAGGAGTGTGAAAGGATACGAGCCATTCTGAACCTCTATGAGCAAGAAACAGGTCAACAGGTAACCTAGTCAAATCAGAGATCTCGTTTACACCAAATGTGAAAGAAGACAGGAGGCAAGAAGTTGGGGCCATTATGGGAATGAAGGTAGTTGATTATCACTCAAAGTACCTTGGTCTTCCTAATGTGGTGGGTAGACAAAAGAAAGCGGTTTTCAGTTATCTCGTGGATAGGGTTAGAGGGAAAGTCAAATTATGGAAGAGTCGGCTACTATCGTATGGAGGGAAAGAAGTTCTTATAAAGGCAGCTGCTCATGCTCAGATGACTTATGCCATGCAAGTTTTTCTAGTCCCCATTACTGTTAATTCATGAAATTCAGAGCCTGATCTCTAATTTCTGGTGGGGACAACAACAATCAGAGCACATAACTCATTGGGTGGGATGGAAAGAGCTGTGTAAAATCAAGAGTCAAGGTGGATTGGGTCTTAGGAGCCTACACGAATTCAATCTTGCTCTATTGGGAAAGCAGCTCGGGAATATTACTCAGAAGCCTAACTCTCTAGTAGCCAGGGTTTTCAAGGCCAAATATTTTCCCAACAGGGATATCCTTGAAGCAGAGGATGGGTACAATCCTAGTTATGTGTGGAGAAGTGTTTTAGCTTTAAAAAAAAAAACATACTCAAAGAGGGCCTGAGGTGGAGGGTGGGTAACAGGTACAAGATTGATATATGGCAAGATAGGTGGATACCATCAGCACCCTCTCTTAAAGCTGAATCTCATATCTCTCAGTTTGCCCCTACAACCTTGGTCTATGAATTATTGGATTTGGAAAACAAGACCTGGAACTACTCACTACTACAGACATACTTCAACTCCACAGATCGACAACACATTCTGAAAATTCCAATCCCCAGGCAACCAGCAGAAGATACAAGGATATGGTGTCACGAGAAGTCTGGCACTTACTCAGTGAGATCAACTTATCGATTTTGCATGGATAAGAAGGAAGCAGAAGAGGGTGCGGGGGAGATTTATAGCCCAATAAACTGGGACTAGTTGTGGAAGCTTTCAATTCCGCCCAAGGTGGAGATTTTTGTTTGGCGATGGATCAAGAACATCCTACCTATGGGAGCTAATATTTGGGACATAATTCGAAAAGGTTGTGAGGAATGCCATTCTGTGGGTTAAGAGAAACCCAACCGCATCTTTTTTCAGGAGTGTGGATGGGTGCATAGGGTTTGACTACCTAGTTCACTAAACTATCTATTCGAGAAGGGTCAAGATCTCACCTGTGAGCAGTGGATGGCGCAACTGCAGGAGTCGACTTCAGAAGATCTACTTTGTCAATTTTTGGTGGCCCTCTTCTTTATCTGGGATGAGAGGAACCGTCAGCTTTGGAACAAAAACAAATCGGAGGAATACGAAATAATGGAAAATGCAGAAAGATGGCTAGTAGAGTACCTTGAATATCAACAATCGTCTGCGGGAGAGAGAGGAAAGCGAGAATATCACTAGGAGCCCCCTTAGTTGTCTGATTTCAAGGTTAATGTGGATGTTGCATGTTTCGAAGGTCAGGGTTCTGGTTTCAGGATGGTGATTCGAGATAAGGGCAAAAAATTTCTGCTTCGCGGCCGTAAAAAGAAGTCGGATTCAATGGTCACCGGAGATGGCTGAGTGTTTGGCGATAAGATGGGGTTTGGAGGTGGCGGTGGAAAATGATTTCGTCAGCTGCGAAGTAGAAATATAGTTTGACGATTGTTCACTATTTGCTCAGAGAGCAAAAGACGATGACAAAAGTGGGGGTGACGTGTGAAAAGCTGCGAAATCGTCTCTCGGAGTTGGGCTCGATACCAGTGGGCTTCAATGGCCAGCTTAGTAACCAAGCCACACATCTTATGGCCTATACTTAGGGGTGGGCAACGGGACGGGGACAGGTACCCAATCCCATTGAGAGGGGAAAGGCCATCCCATGTCCCTAACCCGTATGGGTTAACGGGTACCCGTTATCCATATGGGACGGATAACGGGTACCCAAACTACTCGTATATACCCGTCCAACTAGTGGCAAAATTCGTGAACCACGGATTTTCAACACAAAATTAAACAAATACAAATCTAGTTAATAGTGGGAAGCCATCATCAGTATTTAAACCCAAATTGAACTATTAAAAAGAGTTAAAAGAGAAGCTATTTGCTACAGTCAAATACTCAAATAATGAGAAAAGGAGGGATTGTCTATATAAGTATCATCTTTTTATGTACGAGATTATTTGGGATGTATTGGCTAGTACTATATATAATTGGTTATGTATAGTCTTTTTGTATACTAGATGTAAGGGGATGTATTGGTTAGTGATGTCTTATAATTTTTTTATGTATTGTCTATAAAAAAGTTTTGCTAATGGGTATTACAGGTACCTATATTACCCAAATGGGTAGTAACAAGTAACTCGCGGGTACCCAATGTAATAATCATTGATCCCAAGTCCTATCCAGGAAAAATAAATTACGGGTATTTGGATACCCGTAACCCTCAATAAACGAAACCAGGGGCGAATACATGGGCCTTACACCCCTAAAATTTGGGGAAACGATTATCCAACCTCCGGTAGTAGTTTCGTATTGGTATACAAAATATAATTGGTAATTCGGGACACCCTAACATTTGAAAAAATGATTATCCTACCCTCGATAATAGTTTGCTCATGATTAACAAAATATAACTGGTAGTCCGTGTTATTCCAACCTAGGACACTACTGTTATCAAACATATTCTAATTATGTTGCTACTCATTTTTTATTCTATTTGAAACATCATGCAACAGTAAAACGCTATTTCTTTATCCCCAACTATTTTCAATACCTAATAATTAAACTACGTACACGCTACCCTTAATTTTGAATTGATTTTATGGTTACACGGCAAGTGTTGAAACCCTTAATTTTGAATTGATTTTATGGTTACACGGCAAGTGTTGAAAGAGTCTTTTCTACTTTGAGCTACATTAAGAACAAGGTTAGAAATCGAATATGTGATAAGTTCGTGACGTATTGTCTAGTAGGATATGTAGATTTTTTTTGAACAGTGTAGACACGGAGTTTATTTACATTTTTTTCAAAATATGAATTTTAATTTATTATTTAATAAAAAATTTATACCAATTATACAAGTATGATATTTTTAATATACGAATTATTTAATTTATTATATAATTAAATTTAATTTTTGAAGAGGACACCCATGTGAAAATTTTCTGAATCCGCCACTGAACGAAACGGGTATGGGAAGAGACAAAAATGTGGGCTTCCAGACCTCTTTTTTGGTTCCACGGATAATTGCTGATTCCTGTACGGTTTCAAACAATTAATGAAATAATACAGACTAGTAATCAGCCCGCGCTCCGTGGCGGGATAAGTTTGGCATGAGTAATTTCATGGATTATGATATATATTTGTATGCATGTAATCTGGAAACGGTTGAGATAATTGTTGGATAGAGTTTGTTCTATGGTATTGTTAAGCCTGGGCCATGTTTTGTCGCGTAGAAATGTCGACATATGTTATCAGCGTACACGGGGCCGCTCGATTGTGTGACCTAGCTATCCTCATCAAGCATCATAGTTGCCAAAGCAAGGATGCTGCTATTGTAGATGCATTATAGTTGGGTGCACGAAACCGTGCTGGGGATTTAGTGTATCAAGGCATAAAAACAAAAGATAGTACATAACAGCCTTGTGAAATCCAAAAATCCTAATCAAATTTAAACATTGTTTTGTCCTCGTTGGACCTGGAGAATGAAAACTTAGTTAAGGAAGGAGGATAATAGAGGCAGCAAACACGCGGCAGGGACTCTTTCTGTCATTGGTGCTGACGATCACTTGTCGATTCTTGAGGTGTGCCAAAGTGTTGAAACTCTGATGTGAGGTTTGGCTGGTGCGGTTCTGTTCTTCAGATCCGAGGAACCGATGTACAGTTCTCCTGCAAAGATTCTGCTGCATTTTTTGATCAGCATCGCCTTAGCCGCATCCGCATCGAGTTTCACGTACTTGCTTGGTGACATTCCGATTATTGAGAGAGTTGCCTCATGGTCCAGTATGGCATCAATATCATCAGATCCTTGTTCACACTTGACTTCGAGCTGATAGTGCAAGCTGGTCATAAATATAAGCGAGAAGTTATGTTAGCTTCTTTGTGGATAAATTAGTAAATAATAGATGCGCATTGAAATAGGAAACATACTCTAGCCATTCCTCAGTTGTTCTGCAGATGCTTTTTCGAAATTTCATCTGTGATATGTGGAACTTGGCACGGTAAAGCACCTAATACGAATGGTATATCTTAGTTAGTAATGTTTGTTTATAAAATGTAACTGCGGGATGTAGATATTTATGAGGCATTTTGTCCACGACTAACCTTGTGGTAGCTCTGATCAGATGCAAGCATAGCTTTGATGTCAGCAAGTGTTTTCTTCTCAACTGTTGATCGAAGGCAGCCTGTTTTCTTACTGGTGTTGGCGTCCATGTAGTAAACCTGCATGCGGCTATGAAGGAAGCTGGTTGTAGCAAAATAATAAAAAGTGTTATCTTTGTTCTGGTCGGTTGGCAGTATATATGAATCGAAGAATGAATAACACTTGTTCAGAGAGAAATGTACATGTGCATAATTTCTTTGAATGTGCCTGCATAAGATCTGATTATCAACTGACTGGCATGAGTGGATTCAAAACGATACTTATATTTCTGGCTGGACAGAGGCGGCACTCGAATAGCAGCTTTGATTGTAACAATGAGGGGCAGATGAGCCTCAGCTATCGGCGCATCCTCTAAGAACTTCGGAATGTCATATCCTCGATACAGTACAGATGCCTTAGCGCCACTGATTGTGACAGATATGTGTAAGGTTGGTGATTCATATAATTAATAAAGTAGTATATTATTCTATAGAACGCACCTCACATCCTGTATGACCAGGTGGAATTCTTTGAGGGTACCACGAACTGTTGTAGGAACACTAATACGCCTGACGCATGCATTGATATCTGTGGTTACCGGGAGAGTTTGTCATTTTAAAGTTTACGTTTATTTTAGCATAGAAAACTGAGATAGTCAAGCGTACCTGTATGATAGTCAATGGTATTTGTCTGAAGTGGTACTATCGAAAAAGCCATCCCAATGTCCCAGCCGATGGGTAATCGTGGCTCATCTGGGTCTTCTTCAATTCTGAGGATGTTTTGTTAGGGAGTTATGTGTATCCTTAACTCTCCTGCAACAATCCTAGAATTCTCTCTTGCTGGTATAGCCACCACCGAATCAAAACGATAAAGGTTCCCGACTTTAATCCTGCGAGAAATCTCGCTGATGTCCTTTTCATCAACCATCGACTCGATCAATCGTGCCTATAAGATAAACAGTTTAGCGGTCTCAAACTACATGGTACACTGGTTTAAAATCACTTATGAATAGATTATGCAATTCTGTAACTTAATTGTAAATGAACCTTCTTGTCTATCCAAATCATGTGCATGCTGAGGTTTTTAAGTCCGGGTGCCTCTCGGAATTCGAGCCACGTCATCACAGGCCGAGCAATGACTATGCGAGTGTTTATGCCCAAACGCAAACCCCGAAATGGCATGCAAGTTTCAATCGGATCTATAAGACAATAAAGGGAAACGAAATGGATTTTTTATCTTTCTTGCAGAGGAATCGAGATTCTTGGGAGGATTTGTTTACGAAAATGGAAGTTGCTCACCTTTGATATCGGTGGGGACCATGTGAGCGCCATCTGTTGACTGGCGGTTTTTGCCTAAACTCTCCATGCCAGGTGGGGTCTCTGTGCGAACAATACAAAAACCGACCAGAAATGTTGTTTCAGCAGTAAAAGCGGTGAAGAAGAGAGAGACGTGGACTTACCTTTGTTTTAATGTTTGTCTGGCAGTTTCTGTGGTGGGGCTTCTTCGGCGGAGAAAGGTTGATGAAGATGTGGACGGCGGTTGTCGATGGTTGATGAGGGAGGATAGGGTTTTAAAGAGGATCGCTTGGTTTGAACGGGCCTGTATTATGGGCTTTTATTTAAATCATGTTTGTGACTATAAAGGCGTTGCATTGGTCATTGTATTATGGGCTTGAACATCGGGCCTGTATGTTTTCTGATTTACTTTGTATTGCCCTATAGTTTTGTGGATTGTGGTCCAGGCGAGGCAATTTGTACAAAATTGAGATAAACACGGTTCTAATAACTCAGATCTTCCATTTATATGATATAAACTGCAACATGTGTTTGATGAACTGATTGCCAAAAGTGAAGGTGAATGTAGTTCTTCATCATTCATTATTTGGACGCATGATCAAGACAAAACATTCACCTCTCTGAACTATTTAGATACAAACATCAGGGTCTTCCATACGGGCTAAACACAATAACCGGCGGTTAGGCAATGGTCAAAGTGAGTACGTCAGTGAATTTCTTCGATCCTACAAAAGAAAAACAATTATTTCAGTCACATTTACTGATGCAAACATTTGTTAGTTTAATAGGTTTAATGGAATTACCTGATAAGTAGTTTAGGTATCCACTGTATTGGCAAATGCTTCGTTGAAGACTATGTTTCTTGTAAAGTCATGAGGTATTTCTGGTGGGTTTTCTATAAGAATCCTCAAACCTCTTGCTGATTTTACTCTTGAAACTCCCACATAAAGTTGGCCGTGACTAAACACTGGTTCAGGCAAATATATCCCAACTTTTTCAAGTGTTTGCCCTTGACTTTTATTTATAGTCGTCGCATAGCATAATCGCACTGGAAATTGCCTCCTTTTGAGTATGAAGGGCCACTTGGAGTTCTCCACATTCAACACTATTCTTGGTATAATGACCTCATCAGTGTCATAAGAACCACCCATAATGTTGCCTTTTATATAGTTGTCGCCCAACGATGTGATCATTATTCTTGTGCCATTGTATAAGCCAAGACCAGGGTTTAAGTTGCGTAAGAGCATAACTGGTGTGTTTACCTTTAATGTGATCTCGTGGTCTGGTACTCCGTTGAATGTAAGAGAGTTGAGAAACTCAGTTGGATAGCTTTCATCAAACGAATCCGCTGTTTCTGTCGAGAGCAGTAGCGAGTCTGAGCTGTAATAGGTTGTCGGATATCCTGGAACATTTTGCATCATAAAATTATTAATTGTAGAAACAGTTGCATTCGTTGGAGTAATTATGGCTCTACTGGTGAGGTACTCTGGATGTCTATGATTTTGGGAGAACAAATCATAGATATCATCCACGATTGACTGAACAGGATCAACTCCAGGATCAATCGGGAACAGTTGTGGAATCTGTATCCAATCCATTGGGGCATCTTCTCTGAATGATCTTGCTTTAAGTTTTCCATCTCCTAAAGAGAGGACCCATTCTGGGAATGTATATCCATGTATTAGTCGCTGGTCAGCATGCTGGGCTTCTGTGATTAGCATATTTGTAGATAGATGCATAACTTTAAAATAACTCCATAGTTTGGATCTAGTCAATGAGCTATCAACAGTTTGTTCACGCCCAGCTTCGGTTATAACTGGGAGAGTTTGGCGAAAATCTCCACCAAAAAGAACAGTCTTTCCTCCAAAAGTTTTATAGCTATGTCCATTCAGCGGAACATTTAATATATCGCATAAACTGCGATCCACTGCTTCAAAAGCTCGGCGATGTGTCATGGGCGCCTCATCCCATATGATTAAGGATGCTTCTTTTTAACAGATCAGCTAAATATGTACCGTGTTTAATTGGACATGTCGATGTTGCATCCAGAATCAGAGGAATTTTGAATTTTGAATGTGCTGTGGATGCTTTGGGAAGAAGTGTTGCTGCGATACCTGATGATGCAACCAGAACAACTATTTTCCCCAACCTTCTAAGTCTTGCTGTAATTACATTATAGAGATATGTTTTACCTGTACCTCCATGGCGGTATAAGAAGAATGCGCAGCCCATCTTGTTGTGTACTGAATTGATAACAGCTGAATAAACATTGGTTTGCTCAACGTTCAGTGACTGTAACATTGTGGTGGCCAGTGTATGTTGCTGATCTACATCGAAAGCAAGATGCTCATTTATAAGTGGATTCTCACCACTATCACATAAACCATCTGATGGGAGTGGAAGATTAAAGTTCTCAAGAGTCATTGAGTGTGAGCTCAACATAGTCTGTAATTGATGTAGAACCCAGTTATGCAGTCGTTCGTCGCTGGGCCTCAGAGTCTGATCTCTGAAATCCTTTATTAAACTGTACGCATAATCTTCAGACATAGATTTCCAAGAATAGTTTAACAATGTTATCGGGCTTGGTATTTCACAGAACATCAGCATTGACATGAAAGTGCTTCGAATCACTCGTGGCATGCTAGAAGATGAGATATCTGCTAATACTCGTATCCATTTTGAAGAGTCTGATAAAATGCCCAATTTTTCACAAGCTTTTTCAAAATCTACACAAAGTTCTCCATTGACAGTCCTGAACTGAGCATAACTAACAGCGCCGCGAATTTTTGTGAGCAGCATCCGGAGGAAGAAAACATCGCCAGAACCTGGTGGAACATATGCAATTCTGCCTATTATGAATCCTTTCTTGCGAGGCCTCCACTCTTTACAATCAGATAGCCAAGTGTAGTTGTTGGGTATCTGCGCATATGTCAGAATTCTCGCCTGGGGGTCTCTACGATTAAGCGCAAACCATTCTGTTAAGTGCATCCGACCGGCATAAGGATTCCCCAAAACATTTCTTACATTGGATTGCTTCTTATAAGGTATTTTTTGCTGACCATCCAAATGAAATCCCAAGCGCACAACTGCTGGCTCTCTTACATGTATTGGATACTCATTCAGCCTCCATATAGCTTCATAAGATGACAACGATCGGCAGTCAATGAATTGCTGAATTTCATCTCTGTATTTCACGGATTGCACTTCTACATTATTGTGAGGTGCATCAGCATTTTGAGCAATCACCAATGACCTGTCTGGACCTTTTGTCACATACTTGAAAAGATATTTAATAAGCTTGCCTTTATGACATACCTCGACATTGATATGAGCCTGCATTCTCACCAACAAATTTCGGTTGTATGGAACAACATGTCGATTGTCGAGGACGGAACTGCCCTTTTGAACTTCTATGCCCGATTTTGATCTTCTATAAACGACATTTCCGAATTTGTCAAATGACGTGGCTGAGTTAAACTCTTTTGGGAATTGTTTGGAACATCTGCCGTTTGAGGATTGTTTTTTGTCTCGCATACACGGTGCATTCGTGTTTGCTTCGCCACATGGGCCATGTAACATATATTTGCAAACAGTCTCATACCCAACTGGATCTTGTTGAGGGTCAGGAATTTCAGCTGAGATAACCTCATCAATGTCAGCAGTTGTCCTCAGTTTATTCTCCTCGGCCAGCCAAACCAGCAAGTGTATGTGGGGCAGACCTTTTTTTTGGAACTCCACTGTATACATTACTGGCACAAAACAAGACCTATTAAGAAGCCAAATATTCATATATGTGCATTGAAAGACAAATGATAGTCAACGCTGAAAAAAACAAACTACATTAAATGACCAGGCTGATCTTACTTGCAATCGTCTTCCCAAAGTAGGAGTTTTTCTTAATGTCATCAATTAGAATGCTGAGCTTAATGTGGAAAACCCTTGAAACCACCATCGGTTTGTCCGAGCTATTTGGACCAACTATATCGTGAAAAGCTTTTGTGATTTCTTCCCACAACGAATTACACGTAAATGTAATAAATAGATCCGGATTTCCAAAGAATTCAACCACCGCCATTGTATCGTGATATAATTGTTGCATATATCGTGGGCTACCTATATAAGTCCCTGGGAGGAAAACATGACCCACTTTATCCCCGTCGAGATCACCCCGCGCCATTGCATCCTGTAAGCCTTGATAAACTTCAGCTCTAAGTTGTGGCTGATGGCAGCGCAGAAATGCCAGCCTATTTAACTCTATTGATGAATAGGCGTCAATACAAAAGTGCTGAAGAGCTTTTCCAGCTTGAACAATTGTATGGCCTTCATTGATGCGATATTGGAGCCTAAATGTGTAGTATTCACGCTGAGTAACAAATTGTCTGCGCATAGAAGGAGGACAGAAAGATGACCTGTATTTGATAAGCGGATGATAACCATCCTCTCCATATGGGAATAAGAGCGGGAAATGCAATGCATCAAACTTGGGATTGAGACTTGTAATTCTCTTTAAGCCTTCATAAATGTGATCAACAATGATATCTCGATCGTCCCGGTCTGGAATAAAATCGCCCGGTATGAGTGCTGCAATTTCAATGCTGCTTGGCAAGTCGTATTGTCGATTTCTGCTCTTAGCTCCAAAAATTCGAAGTTTCAAATTTGTCGTTGTAGAATCCTGCAACTGCTGTCGAACTCGCCTGAATGTCTTGGCAAGTTGATTGTTTTCATCCAGCATTTGTAGCAATAAAGTGAGCAATTCTGGCATAAGTAGAGCATCACGGGAAGCATAATTTGCCAAGCGGTTGTCAATTTCATTCTCTAGTTCAAAAATATAGAGCTGAGCAAACTTTGGTTTTTCACCATCAGGAGGCAACAACGAACCAATCCTATGATAATTCTCTCCACATATTACCATTGAATAAGGCCCCTTTCAGAGAGAGAGCGAGGGTCAATAGAAGCGCCAAATGATGTGAAACACAATGAACCATTGTACGGTCTAATGTTGTCCCTGAAATGTTTAGACATAGCACCACCATCAAATCGCAGAAGTTCAGCCAACAAATGTGGAGGTTGTGCTAAGAGCGGCAAACCAACGCAGCCTTTTTGACAGCATAATGCATAAATTGGATTAGTCGTCGCTCGATGGCGGTCGAGCCTTTCCATATCCCAAAATAAAGCACCACAGTACTTACAAACACACTCTGGCTGACCAATCCTCAGAATATCATTGTGGAGTGGCTTTCTAGCCGTGGGAATATGACTACCACAGAATGGAGGTTCGCCTAAATTCCGTCGATTCAAACGATCAGTTTTCTGACGGCTAGCTTGTGTTACTCGACCGATGCCTTCGTTACATTCATCGCCCATATCACGCATACTCTGTTCCTGACAAAATATGGGTCAAGTTATATCTCTGGATACCAATTGCTACATATTCTGATAGCGCATTTTCCTCGGCCGTGATGGACCTGATATGTATACAACAAACATAAGAGTGGTAAGTTTACTACAGTCAGCGGCCGATATGAACAAATGCTAGTAACGCATAATACAGGCATGGATATTTCATGCTTCGGACAACAGGCGTAGAATAATGTTTAACTTCATCACCAGCTGGCGATGCCGAAACTTGATGAAAATTCAATAATGACCCCCGCATGGTGCTCTGAGACACATCAGATGTTTCCCCGAACACTGCTGACGTAGTTGAAAGATCCTCTGCTGGCTGTTTGGGAATTTCAATTCTAGCTCTTTTATGTGTTAAAGTCTGATATTGAGCTTTTCTTATTCTGGGAGGTATTGCCGCACAGTCTAGACAAAAGCATGCAAAAGAACAACGTCATTCATTGCTAGAAAGCTTCACTAATAAAGCTGAGATGAATTTGGATATAATGAATCAATAACGGACATAATTGAAGATTCACTCTACCTTGAACAATCAGAAGTGTGGTGGTTGTGTAGATGACTGTCCAAATCGGCTGGCAAGCACAAGATACAAATGAGGAAGTCTTAAGTGAAATATGAGAGTGGGATGGGAAAAGTTCCCAGAGAAGTTGACACAACCCCAATGAAGAAGAAGACCTCCCTTAAAATGCATCATTATGGATATTTGAGATATGCAATCATATCTACCTATATTAAAATGTGTTATTATGGGTATCCGTGATATTAGATATGCATTAGTATATTGCTTTACCACTTCAAAAATATCTAACTTTGTGCTAAATTAATAAAATGAGAAAAAGCAATCATATTAGTTTAATCTTTGTATAGAAAGAGGCTTCATTACGGAGACAAAAGCGATTACGGAGGAAATCGCTGGAGCAATTTTCCATTTCGGAACATGTGGCCTCAATTGGAATCCATAAATATTGGTATCCAACATAATTAACACATTCCTATTCCAATTGCTCATATATGTTCTAACGTGTCTTTTCAGGATTATCAATTCCACAAAACGTCGAATATGTTTTGACACATCTTGATAACTAAATCATAGAACAGGTTAATTCTTGTATAAAACGTGAGCTTGTTAGACTTTAAGAGGACGAACCAGCGAACATCTAGCGAAAAAGGAGCATGACTACGCTAAGAATGGACATACATTGTACCCGCAAAACGAAACAACCTATTTAAGCAACGATAAGTAGAAGTCATACTACATATAACATCTCACAAGAGAAAAAACGCAGTTGCAATATCACAATAAGGTACCACGCAAAAGTCACATACAGCAACCTTCACCACCTCAATACCGCCAAAAGAACTACTATCCGACAAAACATAGACGGCTACATAAACGAAAAGCACAGAGAATATACATCCTCTGATAACATCCACATAGGTGCAAACAACACAATTTCGAGACCAGAATTCCCAAAACATTATTGTCCAAAAAAAGAGAATAATTTGCAAAATCATAACGAAACACAATATCTCCTCGAACATAAGACAACTACAATCCCAGAGACATCATCAAACACATCTTTAGTTCCTACAGCAAACAACATGGAATAATAAGAACCACGACATGCACAAAAAACTAAACTACAACACAAATGTTCTGAGAGTATAGGTTTAAACAACAGAGCTAGGAGTACCCTTGAAACCATGATCACTTCTTGAACAAACCACGCTTTGCCGCCGTTTTTTTCTGACTATCCACCGAAGCATCCCTTTCCATATCAACACCTGCCTGTGAGGAACCACCATGTTGCGCCTGAGCACTTTTGGCAGCATCCAGTTTCTCCACCTTGATCTTGGACAGTGGAGAAACCAACCTTCAAACAAATAGAGTTTTTCGTTCTAAGAACGGGAGCAATAACACAAACATAAAACAGTAACAAACTGACAATGTAGAACATAAATACTCACGGCGATGCCGATGGTGACACGGCGATTGAACCTAAAGTCATTCCAGGAGATGACTCGGGGGATGGCTTTAAAACTTTCGCAGCTGGCATAGATGAGCCGCGACCAACATCCTCGGGGCTCATAGACTCTTCAATTCTTGCTGATCGTCTGGGGATCATTGAAGCAGCAGATTGAACAGATGGTACAGCAGAATGAACAGCAGAGGACATCGCAGCAGGTGCAACAGCTCGGGTAGAGCCCACCTGTACACCCATCGCCGAAACCTGAGAAGCTCCAAGAACCCGTGACTCAGTATCAATATCTTCATTTCTGACATATGCAGAAATAGGGTTTCGGAAATCCCTGGCCTCATAACTGGGAAATCTGCGAATTATAGTAACTGATTCATATGTCATCCTCGAACAACATCGCAAATTAGCAAAACAAACTCCGGGAACAATGCCAATACCTGCCAATCAGATCTGGTTCATCAGTGATGCTAAACGGCATAGCCGAAGCTTCAATGAGAAGAGAGTCTAAAACCTTTTCCTTTCCCTTCGAGGCCATTAAGAACACATCACAAATATTTCACTTTAGACATAATAGACAGACCAAAGCAAAACACAAAGAAACCAAAGCACCCAACACTGACCTCGATGAACCAGAGGGACCCCCCACGATACTCGATGCACGCATCATAGGAGCAGCCAACGGAGGGGGCGAAGAAAACTCAAGCAGGTCACCCACCACAGTGGGATCATCAAGAGGAACCACCTGGGTCACACGGAATTCACCCGAGGAGAAACCAGTTGGGCCCGGCAACGGCAACCTAGAATCAAACTTGACATACTGCCCTCGTAACTGATGCAGTTGTGGGGGCAGCTGACCAAGACGATGGGGGAACCTCTGGGCCAAATGTGCAGCAGAAACGTTCACCAGCGTAAGCGCACACCCCCCATCAGTATAAAACGCGCCTCACAGGAGTCATCCCTCAGTGCAAGCTGGAGCTTGTAGCTGAGGAAAAAAGAACATTAGCAACAAAACTCACAACAGGCAACAAACATACAAAAAATGACACATGGTCATACTTGACGCGAGTTTGTTCCTCGTCCAACTGCCAATCCTTTGGACACCAAAATGTATCATCACGACGCTTCGAAACAACCCTCGAACATAACTTGCATGAAATATAATACCAAGGTGTGCTTAACTCGACATCAACAATCACTCCACCACAGCGATACTTCTCTTCCTAACAAAAAAAAAAGGCAAGTTACGCCCAAACATGGGGGAAATGATAGCAATAGACTTTTAGACGAACACGCAATACCAGTGAGGCATTTGTTCTGGATAACGCCAGCAGCTGACTCAAAGTCCTGGTTCGACGATCGGCATCAGCGGCAGTAGCAAACTCAACCGGCAAGGATTCAACAACCTCATGTTTCTCAGCAAACCTAGTAGAGATCCAAGCACCATAACTTAGACAACATAGGAGCCTTTGCAAAATCCGGACTACATCAACAACACACAGGAAATCGGCAATAGCCCACAACTAACTTACCTAGATGCAAGAAAATAAGCCTTTGGTACAGGAGGATTGACTGATATGCGAGTAGCGGCAGAACTCGACAGAACATAATCATCTGAAAAGTAGAATAAAAGACGACAAAAACTATAACATACTAATAGACCACATACTAATAGACCACACTCAATCTAACGAAACCGTGCATGCAATAAGGAAGCAACAACATACCTCCCAGCTTATTAACCAGCAAGCCGCCAAATGCCAAAATCACAGCTTCAATCGAGTCAGCCTGAGTCAAAGCAACGTGATTCAACACCGCAGAAAACTCATCCTAGAGCGTAATCGAGACCTTCGCTCCGCTGAGAAAAAGAAGAGGGACACGTAAGAGAAACAAAGAACAAACACGACACTCACAACCGAACCAATAAACACAGAAAAACGTAACACACCTTTCATCCTCAACTATGACCGTCTGCTTGACTGCAGACCCGTTATTTGTGATCTTGTGCGATATCCCGCTGATCGAACTGAGTCGGCCAACGACATCTACGAAAACAGTACAAAGGTAAAATCTTAGTAAACAAACAGCAGATATATAAACAAAGCAAATCCAACAAAAACAAACCTGCTAACCTGTCAAATAACGATGGTTACCGGCACGCATGTTCAACTGAGAGAAAGCCACAAACTCGTAAGCATCAAGTGGGAAACTTTCAGCAGGCAGAACACAGGGCTGAAAAGAAGCCGAAGGCGAAAGACCCAGAGCCAAATCAAATGAACAGGCCCGATAGTGATTCGGCGGATTGCTCAGGGCAAAAGTCTTTATGACGTATATCTTGCCAACCGAGAGATTACGGCGAATCCCAGCAGCCATCGAAGTTGGTGAGACGCCCTGTATCAGCATACCCTGCGCAAAACACACCAGCCTGCCGCATGAACAAAGCAAAGAGGGCACAGCAAACAAGGGCAAAAAAGAAAAGGCGGGAAGGACAAAAACTTAACCGTTTCGTCGACCCAAAGAGTACAGTAATTGTAGATCCTAATGTCCCCCGGAGACTTCGCCGGCCACACATGCAGCAGTCGGAGCCGCAAAGAAACGCTGGCATTGCGAGGACCTCCGAGGTTACAAAGCAGCGTAAACTCCATGGTTCGGGAAAAGAAGAGCACCAAAGAGAGAGGAAGAAATTTTTGAGAAAGAAAACAGAATGACAGTAGGGAAGTTCCGGCGCCACGAAAGATAAAAAAATGAAGGAAAGAATGAACAGACGTGATAGTACTGCATGTCAGTTACCGGTCCAATGACGAAAGGAAACGTAAAAAATGGGAAACGACACTGCGATTGACAAAAAGATAAGGACAACGTAAAATCAAGGAACCGCCAATGAAACCATAAAAAGAAACGAAGGATTCCAGGCGCCGAAGCGGCGGTTGTCAGATATCAGGCCAAACACAAAGGAAACCGCTCCCCCCAGGCCCAAATGCAAAACGCCGTATATAAAATGGCGCGCCCATCATTGGCCGAAATCCCGGAAGACAAGAAACAAAGCCCGCGTGCGAGAGAGGAAAGCAGTGCGTGTAATAATTATATGGGGCGGCCTCAGGGGAAATGATAGAAAGAAGCAGAAAACGCAGGGAAAATAAGCGTCCATTTGAGGGCAACACGACACACACAGGAACAACAGAAAACAAATAAAAAACCGGCCCACACACAGCTGAGCAGCCAATAAGAAAATGCGGCCGTAGAGCATGGACCAATCAGGGGAGAGTGAACAGTAATTTTGAGTCTAAATGAATAGCAAATTGTGTCTAGATGAACAGTAACGTGTCTTTGCAAATAACTTGTTACTAGTTAATAGCCCGCGCTCTGCGTCGGGATGAGTTATAGCATATGAAATAAGATAGTTTATTTGATGCCACAAATATAAGAGGTATTGCAAATTTTTGTACACATTTACAACACGAAACTGACGAAAGTATAAACCTTAATATAAACCTTAATTTCTTTTTTCTTTTTTTATCAAAAAAAAATTACAGATCATAGAAGCTTTCAATTGCCAAAAGGCCTTGGTTCAAATTTTAAGGTGTGAACTGTTCCAAATTATAAGATAGATATATAAAAACAAACACTTGCACATGATGTAGCAAATCTTCTATGGCAATAACTCTATCGACTCACTTTGGTCATTGGAGCTCAAATATCCGAAGATATAATAAGTGGGCAATAATACAGTCCCATAAGTTTACGTGGCTTCTTTTCCTAGTTGAAATGCTTATCTTAGTTATCTATAAACACTACTAGCTTATAACCCGGCCCGTTGGCCGGAGATAGCTTACAAAAGTTTGTAAGTTGTAATCAACATACTATGTGTTTTGAGGTATATGCATTGGTGGCCTGGTGGGGGTGGGCAACTCTCATAAGCAAGGCAAATGCAGTAAACCTGTCAAATTTATTTGAACCCCGTGCACGTCATCTAAATTTGATCTCTCTCTTTTGTAGAAATCTTATTTTATAACTATTTGATCTATCTTTAAGTTAAGGGTGTTTGAATAAAAACATTTGTGTTTACCTAAAATTCAATAGTTGTTGTGAATTCTGAAATTGAAAAATGTGAGAATTATGTTGGTTTGAACTTTCTTCTCAAGCTTAAATTTGAGGAAAGAAAACTTTTAACAATTAATAGAAATCAATGGTTATTTTTTTGTTTCTATAATTGTTAATTGATGTATTTCCATCAACAAAAGCAACAAAAGTATTCCTTTCCCAAGCCACCACAACTCCAATGCGTCACAGTGGATAAAAGACTAAAGAGCCTGACTTTAAAAGAACGGAGTAAAAACCAAAACACACCACAAGCCAGGGGGGGATCAAATCGAATAATAAAAGTTTAATAAAAACTTCTTATACCACTGGTAACTCTCGGCAGTGACTACTGAATCAACAAAATTCATAAAAACATTTTATTATTGGAAAGTCTCGAAAGTGACTAATACATCATCAAAATTTCAAACATTCTTCCAAAAGAGATCAATCTGATATCAAGCGGCAGCTACTATTATCTATCTATCTATACTATACATTATGGCAATTCAAAAGAAATCTCTTGCCACATAAGCACTTGGAGGATCCACAATTTGCCAAGTTGGACAACTTTTTTACAAACAAAAAAATTAGTTATTAATGTATTTATGGAGCTACCTCTCTCTTCTTTAATATTTCCATTTCTTTTAACTTTTTTTTGTGCTTTAATAGTAGGTTACATGTTGATAAACTTAACCAAACACACATAAATAATAATTTTTTTGTCCAGTAAAAAAAATATAAATAAGAAAACAGAAAGTAACATATACCACATTTGTTTAGATAAAAATATCTGATTAAACCTTATGAAGTAATATTTTTACTCATTTTTGCTAAAATTGAATGATTATTTATATTTTTATGGAAATTAGACAAAGATACACATAAACAGTAAATTTTTTTCGATTAAAAAAATTATATGAAAAGAGAGAAAATAAATATTTGACATTCAATTACCTATGAAAAATAAACTATATTACTTTATATTTTGTTGCAATGAAACACTCTCTTATTCGTAAATTATATGTCTATAAAATAAAATAAGTATTATTTAGCAAAATGTCAGAGTATAATCTTGATCGAGTAGTTATAGTTATTTATTTAAAAAAGACTTCTTATTCCTCACATCATGTTCTACCTTAAACTCCTCAAATGAAGAGAAATCACATGTGCAATAATTTTATAATGTGTCCTAAGTTCACATCAATAATATTTGTTCTATATCATGTTTATTGAGCAAGCTCTATTGAGGTCCTAAGTCGTATGCTAAGAAATTTTTCTTTCAGACTTGGACTTATCGTCAACGATTATAAATAAAATTTTTCAAAATGACTTAAGTATGATTGTTGACACACTTTGACTTCATACCCTAGGATGAGACACAAGATTCCTTGAAAAAACATAAGGAATGTTAGAGAATCTTTGTAGAGAATCTACGATAAACATCGCGTTTCATCAACTACTAACCTAGACATTTAGCAAATAAAGGTTGGCAATTTTTAGTAAAATAGTCAATTGGGATATAAACATATTTATCCAACAATCAAGTATCATTATCCAGTAATCTCAACTCTCAAAATTGGTTGCCAGTTCGTCCAAACTCGAGAAATACGAATTGATATATGTTGTATAGATAATAAGTTAATGGAATAATCAAATGAAATCCACCGATATTGTTCAAATGATAAGACATTTTAAATGCACTTGAAAATGTGGGTATTGTAGACACTCTTTATCAAATATTAATATATAAGTGATAAAATCTTTGAAAATTACACATTCAACGACCATGTTAAGACCAAAATCCTCGATAATGTGTGCGAGTGTCTTAGATTGAGATTCTAAGCCAACATATAAACAATGACCACGGGTTGAACTTCAAAAATTAACAATTGATACATATTCTATAATATACTAAATTTAAGTGTCTTGATAAAAAAAACTAACATCCAAAATGGAAATGAGGCGAGATTATAGAATTTAATCATCACGAGGGCTATGGTGTGTGTCAAGTTTCAATATGGATGAATAAATTGATCCAGTAATGAAGTATCTTTACTAAGAATGTCTCACTAAAAAGTCCTAATCTTTACAACATTGGTCAAGAGTTCGTCCAAACTTGAGGATCATGAATGTGTATTGGATTTCAAAAGGACCTATAATCTCAACCCCTTTTGGGGGCTAAATACCTCTGATCACAACCATAGGTGTAAAAGAAGAATGAAAAGAAGCAAAAAAAAAAGAACACAACCTCCGATACGATGAACAGAATAAAAATATATCGAGCTATGATCCTTTCATCCCTACCCTATTATTCTCCATAAAGGGAGGCGGCGGAAGAGGATAAGAAATAAATAGCATCATCTTATAATTTCCCTCTTTATATATTACATATCAAACGATAAACAACCTCAATAGTTGTCTGACGTTATGGGGTAAAAGCGGGATCTCTATCCCGAGGGTGGGGGATAGGCGAGTAGCACTTTTAATATGAGTATTAGGCGAGATAAGATAGGTCTAGAAAAGTATCTGGATAATTTTGAGTCTACTATACACACACACACACACACACACATATATATATATGGTTATGTCTTCGGTGCACTCACATTTTTGGGTGCATTCAATGCACTCGCTTCATATTTGTCATTATGAGCATGCGATTCATGTCAAAACAATGTTAATCATCACGTATGATTAATTTGAAGAAATTATGATTTATAGATTTAGGGTTAGGGTTCATGATTTGGGGTTTAGAGCAAAAGTTCAAAATTGAAGGTTTAGGGCTTAGAGTAATGCATTGATTAGTTGTGATCTTATATTATATTATCATATTACACTAATCTTACCAATTAAAATAAAAAATTGATGTCTTAAGGCTACTTTTAGAGTTGGGTGCATTGAATGCACTCATTTTTGTGAGTGCACCGGAGTAGCCACCATATATATATACATATATGGTGCCTTATATATATATACATATATATAAAATATCAAGATATACTATCTTTTCATTTTACTCAAGATACGATAGAAGATAGGTATGACAAAGTATTTGCATAAATTAGAGGTTAGAGAATTAGGGATTAGAGTTCACCTATTAGAGGTTAGGGTATAATATCATGCCCCAAAAAACTCCGAAGTCTAAATAGTAAAACTCAATGGTCGTATGGTAGTGTGTGTGTGTGTGTGTGTGTGTGTGTGTGTGTGGTTCAGGTTGGCGTACGCTAAATATTAGTGTTTTGGTTGACAAATTTTGACATAAGTTATAAATGGGACGTGACAGCGACATAATTTATGATTAGAAAACCGAAGCATCACAAGTGAGTGTGCTAAATATTGGAAATTTTCAATATAGACATACTACAAACTCTTTTATGAATCAAGAACACAAAATATTTAGAAGATCCAAAATGATTTAAACATATAAATAAGTTAATTAATATAAATTATAAAATAAATCTCTCGGCCAACGGGCCGGGTAAAAAGCTAGTATGATAATGAGAATAACTACAACTACAGCCTGCAAATCCATAAGTTGTCTAGGAAGAGCTCTTGTTTTGCTGAT